AAAAACGACATCAAATGGTCTATTAAGACTTAATAAAAGCCAGTCAATTGGATGAGATTACATGTGGGTAAACTGTAAAAGCCCGGGGAGAAAGCAACAGACTACACATCTAGAACACTGAGCTCCAAGTGTTCCGCGCATTTCAAAGAAAGCAAAACAAACAAGCCAAAATTAGAGAGGATGCATTTTGGGTGGGTGCTGTTTGTATCAGAAACATTAATCATAAAACTTCAAACAATTAACTCATAATAAAAATAATTTTAAGCCCTTGGCCCTACATCAAAAGATTGGTGAAAGAATGCCTTAGCGTCCTTGCTAAAAACCTGCTTGTTTTTGGTCAACATCCTTATGGGAACCAACTTGGAGAGATGCCCACAATATCATGTTAAGTGAAAGACTCAACTTATAGAATATGCAAACTATCCCACTTTTTCTGAAGAGTTTCAATATATTTGAAAACATGTTTGCAAATGATTGTGAAAGGATTAGGCCTGTTATGAATGAATGAATGAATGAATGAATGAATGGTTTTGTGGGCTGAATCGTGACTCCCAAAATGATGTGTCGAAGTCCTGAGCCTGGGAACCTGGGACTGTGACCTGATTTGGAAAAGGGGTCTTTGCAGATGTAATTAAGTGAAGGATCTTGAAATCATTCTGGATGGAGGGAACACCCTAAACCCAATGACGGCTGTCCCTATAAGAGAAAGGCAGGGGGAGATGTGAGCCAGGGACGCAGACGATGGCCCTGTGAAGACAGGCAGAGACCAAAACTCCTGGAGCCACCGGAGGCTGGGAGAAGCAAGGAAGGATTCTCCCCAGGAGCCCTCAGAGGGAGCATGGCCCTTCCAATAAACTTGACCCTGGACTCTGGCCCTTGGAACTGTGATCATTTGTTTGTGATCACCCAGTTTGTGATCATTTGTTATGGCAGCCCTAGGAAGACAATACAGGGAGGGTCAAATACAAGACCAGTGCTTTAACCACTGAGCATGGAGCCTGCAGTCAAAGTAATACTTCTTCTTTAATCCATGTGATCACCAAGACCTGAGGTTAATTTAGAGCAGTGGTTCTCAACCTGTGGGTCACGACCCCTTTGGCAGTCGAACGACCCTTTCACAGGGGTCGCCTAAGACCATCCTGCATATCAGATATTTACATTACGATTCATAACAGTAGCAACATTACAGTTATGAAGTAGCAACAAAAGTAATTTTATGCTTGGGTCATAACATGAGGAACTATATTTAAAGGGCCAGAAGGTTGAGAACCACTGATTTAGAGGCTTTTAAATGAATATCTATTGTATTCATTCATATTTTATTTAACAAACACTAATATAGCACTTTGTATATATCAGATGCTGTTGTAATTTTTCCATAAAAATATTTATTTAAATATTATGATGACCAAAGAAATACTATTATTATTATTATTATTTCCAGTTTAGAGAGAGAAAACTAAGAGTTTAAGTAACTTGCCCAAGGTCACAGAGCTAGCAACATCAGAGCCAGGATTCAAACCCAGGCAGCTCTTCCCCACTGCCCGGTGTTAGGCTCACTTCCGAATCTAGCCCCAGCCAAGCAGAGGGTGCGCACCAGGCCTGCCTGGAGCCATCTCTCCTGGTTCTGTCCATCCTTTATGGTTCTGACCCAGAACTGCCCTGTGCAGCTACTTTCTAGCTACTTCTCCAGGTGCAGATTTTAGGACTTCTCTCCACTCAACCCCAGAGGACAAGCAAAACTTAATACCATGTGGACTTCACCCAGCTGCTGCTGGGTAGCCTCTCTTTATTTGCATTTGCACTAATCTCTCATTTCCTGCAGGTATTTGAAGTCCTGAAAGGACATTGCTGGAGATCACGAAAACAGGACGCTTTTCTCCTGGTGTCTTTTGTGGGACAGGCCCACATTTCCCAGAAGGGCACACCTGCCGCCCTGTTGACCGAAGGAAAAGCCAGGAGCACACTTCAGCAGGACCTTGCAGACAAGCTGATGGGAATGAGCTGATAGGACCAGTGTTTTAGTTTAGCTGAAGCAGCTGTACTGTGAGGCGGAAGGTGTGGAAGGAGGATCAGAGGAGTCCCCGTCACAGTCTGCAGACACCGCTGTCCCCTCCCAGACAACGCCACCCTTCCCTCATAGGCTAGTGGCAGACTGAGAAACTCGTCTCCAGGACTAGCTGTCTCTCCTACGTTCCCCAGCTTCCCTTGGGGATAATTTATTTCCCTTTTATTTGATCATAGTGCTCGTAAACTGGGCGTGGGTCACTGTGAAAAAAAGAGTAATTTTTTGCACATGAAAAGTGTGCATTGCAGAAGATCACGTGCATGGGTGATGACCAATGTCCTTTTCAGTTGGATGCGTCTGTGATGGCAGAAATCGTGGCCCAGATCAGAGCCATTGTCATGGGACAAGCAAAGAAAATGTCCCTGGCCAATGGGTCTCTGGTCCCCTCAGGAACATTTGAGATTGTCCCTCATTTTAGAGAATGTCCCTGGGGACATGTAAATGCCGTCCGTAGGGCAGGTCTCCAGGGAGGCAACATGGAGTGGAGCTGGGGGACGAGCCGTGTGGGCATCACAGGACCCTCCGTCACACCTGGCTCAGCCGCTTAGCCAGCAGCATGTGTGACTTTGGAACAGTCCCTTCACCTCCCTGAATCTCAGCAAAATAAAAGTGGCAGCTGTGAGCCTGGCCTCTAATCTCCGCCTCTGCCAGTGAACAGCAAGCGGACCGGGTCCGGTTAGCTGCCTCTCGGCCTGAACTTCCTCTTCTGTAAAATGGGAATAACAGTACTTCCCTCACAGAGGGCTAAGGTGTTCAGATCCCTGAATGTAAGCACTTCATAGCTGTTAGCTGTTGCAATTGGTGGGATAAAAAGAGATGACAACTATGGCCTGCCCAGCATAATGAGTGACCTGGGGAGGTGGAGTGATAGATATTAGTTCTTTCCCCGGTGACCTTACATGGCCGGGCCAGTTGCCAGTAGGAGTCACATGATCTAGCGGACAGTGCTGGCTTTGTCTGAATTAAGAACACACAGGTGTTGGATATAATATAACATGCTGATTCTATGTGGATATTGGCATAGACACACCTATTGGGCTGTGGGGCGGGGCCATCCTTTCCTGGGAACCGCCTCCCTCTGTGATGCCATGTGGAGTTGTGACTTTGGCCACAGGTACTCAGTGGGCCCGTGGTTCTCAGTGTCAGGCCCCGGAGTTGTGACGTTGGCCACAGGCGCTCAGTGGGCCCGTGGCTGGTGGCTGGCTCAGGAAGGACTGGAAGTGGGAACTAGTACTGCCAGAGAAAAAAAAATGCCCAGCCACTCTCCAGGAAGCTGGCCTGAAACTTCTGTGGGCAATCTGGTTCTCCACCTGAGCCTGAAGGAGTGGGGGAGCCTAGAGGTGTGGTAGGGGGAGGAGGAATGAAGTGGCTGCATGCAGCAAGGAGCCAGGTTGGGGGGGGGCAGAGAGTCCAGAGAGCGTGAAGTCCAGTCCCTGGCAGCAGATCCCTTTTTAATGAGGGCAGGAATGACATAGCTGCAGTCCTGATGATAAACTTTTTTCCTTTTTTATTGCCTTAGCAAGGAGCTTCTTCCCGGAAGCCCAAGCCTCTGCTAGCCACGCCTAGGATTTCTTTAAACTAACCAATGATAATCAAGGGAAGTGCATGCCATAGATACAACCACATCCTGTGTAACAAGACACCGACTTGCGCCTGGCCAATCGGCAGGGCCCACAAGCCTCTCTCCTCCCCTTACTATAAAACCCCTTTCCCCACAGAGCTGTCTCGCTCTCTGCCTCTTGCCGCTGCGTCGGCGAGTGTGGTAGATGGGGAGCCCGAGCTAGCTCGAATAAAGACTCTAATGCTTTTGCATGGGACTCGGCTGGCTCCCTGGTGTGGCTTCTTGGGGATCCTGAAATCTGGGCATAACAATGAAAATCTAAAAACTGCCCATAATATAAACAAGTGCTGAAGTTTACTAAATGCATTCTCTCTCTCTATCTCTCTCTCCCTCGCTCCCTCTCTCTCATCTCTTTTAAACAATAGATGACTAGCTAAAGAAGATGATAAAGATTACTACAAATTTTATAATTTTAGTAATCATGATAGTGTTCACATCTTTGTAGTTTAAAGAACAAGCTTAGGATAGATCTAACATTAAGCCAATAACAATTTAGACTGCCAAACCCTAGTAACAGATTCTTTCCACAGACTATTTTAATTTTCATAATCTTGTATGAAAACACAAACCCCGAAGACTTTGAGGATAGCCGAGGAGGGTAAACAGTCGTAAGAAGGCCAAGCAGTCACATATACAAAGAATAATAGCACCATATACCATGAGCGTCCCAACAAGCGCCATCCCTCCTTTCCTCACAAACTCTTAGAACTGACACACACTTTGTCAGGTACAAAGGTTTGGTCAGGCCTTTCCTTGCCTGAAGCAATATCAAAATTGCATTTTTTTTGTTTTTTGTTAATCCTCACCCGAGGATATTTTTCCATGGATTTTAGAGAGAGTGGAAGAGAGAGGGAAAGACAGAGAGAAACATAAATGTGAGAGAAACGCATCAATTCGTTGCCTCCTGCATGTACCCCAACTAGGGCCGGATCCAGGGAGGAGCTTGCAACCAAGATACCTGCCCTTGACCTGAATCAAACCTGGGACCCTTCAGTCTGCAGGCCTATGCTCTATCCACTGAGCCGAATCGGCTAGGGCCAAAATTGCATTCTGTGGTGGGCAGAGAAGAGTTAAATGTTTAAGCCATGAGGAAATTATTAACTTCTCAGTTGATGACAGAGAATTTGCATTTTTACCCTAATTTTTACCTTTGGTATGTACTTGAGAATAACTCATTGATCCAGCCAAAAAGAAAAGAAATAGAAAATGACTATAGTCTGTATTGGTCGTCTTGTCATTAATAAACAATGTTGAGTGTGTACACCCCACTGTGTGGAGACCAATCCCACCTTTCCCACAGTGGTCACTTACCCTTTGGGAAAAAGTTGGGCTGCACCACGTAGAGGAAGACGTGCACCATTTTAAAGAGATTGCCGATGGACCTAGGTGTGTAATAATAGTCTTTGGTCTCATAGGTCGGCGTGGGCAACTGAAACTTCAGATCATCGGGACTGTTTGGGGAGGACGAGGGCTCCTCTGAAATGGTTCTCTGGCAGAGCCCCAGCAGCAGCAGGACGCCGAGTGTCAGGGTCATGGCTAGCAAGGTGCTCCACGCATGAGGTAGAAGTGGGGGCCTCCCGCCTCAGAGGTTCTGGGAGCCGTGGGTAAGCCAGGAGCACGGATAAGCCAAGAGTGTGCGTTTCTGTGTAGAAGAGGCGCAAGGAGGGGAGGACTAGCCTGGATGGCATGCACGATCTCCAGTGGGGTCAGTCACTCAAGGCAGCATCCCTGGAAGAGGGAGAAGAGGCATCGGTCACTAACGCGGCGGTGGCAGCGGCGGCGGGCCTGCACCAGGAGCTGCCCAGGAGGAGGCTGTGAGGCTTTAGCAAGCCCATCTGCCTAATCTGTGTGGGGGCGGGGCTCAGAGGCTGCCTCAGGGCCATGGGACTTGAAAGTTCCATGCAGGACCCTCCTCCACAAAGGGCCACATACCAGGTAGTGTAGAGAAGGCTGTATGGCTTTAGAAACTAACATTTATTGAGCACTTACTACATTCCAGACACTGTTGTCCTTGCTTTAGAGGTAGGATCTTGCTTAAGGCATTAGCCCATTTTACAGATAAGGAAACTGACTGAGGATTTCCTTGGTGACTTGCCTGAGGGAACAGCTGAGCCCAAGGGGCTAGACTCCGAGGTTCTCGCTACAGAGCCCTCCCTCTCAGGCTCCAGCCAGACGCTGCGGCCCCAGCAACAGACTGGATGCTTTCTTTTTTCTCAGAGTCTGTGTTGATTTCCTGGTCTCTGGAGACAAATCTTACTCTGCCTTTTATTCTGCTTATTTGCTCACTGATCTCAGTTCAAACATCCTCCCTCTATCCACCTACAATCCAAACTGAAAAAGCAGGGTCTCAAGGCAAGGGGCCAAACTCTTCAAGGCTGGGTGACATTGGAATTTATCTGTCTCAAAGGCTCACCAGGTAGTCTTGATGGAAATCTTTGCCCCCAAGTCACCACCTGATCAACTAGGGGTCCAGGTGATAAGAGGCAAGGCAGAAGGGGACTCCTGCCCACCCCTGGGAGAGGGAGAAAGAAACAGGGATCCTAAAAGCTGCTACCAACCCATTGCCTACTGAGAATGCTTAGTGTGGCCCCTGTTCTCCTTGTGTTTCCATCCCCAGAACTGAACACAAGGCAGGGCACACAGTAGGGGCTCTGGAAGTGCTGCTGGATATAAAATAAATAAGCCAGAACAGCTGACTTGCTTGTATCATTGCATGAGGCTAGTGAGCTAAAACAGAACCCACCAGGTGAACTGGGATGGCGTCAGGAACCCCGGATTTTATTTATATAGAAGATGTTAGATAGGCAGGAGCAGAGCAAGGACGATGGGCCAGGTACAGAAACTCACCAGGGCAGAGAGCCTACCAAGGGGCAAAACTGGGAAAACAAGAACCTTGTCCTCAGGGTAACCAATCCTCCCCTAGCATATCAGACCCCCTGACCTTCTCCTCCCTAAAGATAACATCTAGGCCTCAGTTATATTTCAGCTCCAGGCTCAGGAAAGCAGCAAAACCAGAGAAGTGAGGACAAGTGACACATGGCTGCCTCAGGACCAGCTGCATTGACTAATGACCCCCTGCCCTGGCACTGACCAATCAGTGGAGACTGTGACCCTGGGAAGCTGATGAATATTCTATTAAGACTCTCCCCTGAGAGCTCCCTTAAGATTTCTACCTGCAAGAGAGAGATAAATATGTTTAGGACAAAGGACCCAGTGTGCGCTCTCCCCTAGGAGAGCACGCCAGCGCCATTCCCTTCCTTCTTCTTCCCTCTAAGGCAGCGGTTCTCAACCTGTGGGTCGCGACCCCTCTGGCAGTCGAACGACCCTTTCACAGGGGTCGCCTAAGACCATCATGCATATCAGATATTTACATTACGATTCATAACAGTAGCAACATGACAGTTATGAAGTAGCAACGAAAATAATGTTATGCTTGGGGGTCACCACAACATGAGGAACTGTATTTAAAGGGCCAGAAGGTTGAGAACCACTGCTCTAAGGGACCCCCCACACGACTTGCAACCAGGGGACCAACAGGCAGCGGCAGCTTGTCCTTGCCCTGAACCTGTCTCCAAGGCCCCCTTTTCTCTGGCTTCTCAGTGAGCCAAAGCAGCTGGCCTAGGCTCCCCTGCCTTATTTCACTGTCCTAAGTATGTTTTTGCTGCCATCATGGACCCAATACCCTTTGGCTCAGTTCTGTGTAGCCCTTCCCTTTAGATATCCCCCATCCCCCACCTCCTTTTCTTTAAATAAATTCAATGTTTCTTTTTCCACCATCTGAGATGGCTCTTTAGCCTGCCCACACATCACTGACTTTAACATTTCAGTTGACACACACAGGTGCTCTTGAAACACACACTATGAGAGCACCCATCAAGGAAGTGACACACTGTACAAGGGAACAGTGGCCCCATTACCTACATTCCACCAAGTCAGAGGAGGAGGTAGGAATTCGTGAGCTATTTGAATGAAGATGTGAATTCCTAAGGAATCCCCTTAGATATTGCCTAAGTCCTGTCCCCCTCCAATTACTCTGCAAAGAGCCACCGATTTAATGACCCTAAACTCTGCCTTTATCAACTCAATGCTGCTAGATCCTCAGTGGCTCTGGTGCCAGCCTCGTTAACCCCAAGCTCCATATCTGCTCCCCATTTCACCACAGATACACCAGGACCTGGTAACTGCTTCCCAAAGGCAATCTCCCTGCCAGGCACAGCCATTGCAAACCCTTGTCCTCAGGCTCTGCAGTGTCCCAGCCTGCACTGCTTCTAACAGGAACCAGGGCTCTGCTTGGCCCTCAAACCCTTTCTAGAGAGAATGAAGAAGAAAACAGAGTGGCAGCCTTTGCAAGTCCTTTCGTCTGGGAAACTCCAGGTTGCACAGGACAGGAGAAAGTATGAAACAAGGGATGTGTGCAGTTATTCAGACATGAAAAGGCTACTCTAAGCAGGCAGGCAGGTGTGTGCACACACACCACACACACTGCACATACACATACCATGTACACATAAACCACACACTGATACACTACCTGTACACACAGAACACACCACCACCCGTAAATACAGGGTGGACAAGAGTAGGTTTCCAGTTGTGAATACATAAAACAGAGTATTCTTATATTATTATTTATTAACTAGAGGCCCAGTGCATGAATTCATGCATGGGTGGGGTCCCTCCTGGCCAATCGGGGCCATCTCTCCCAGTCTCAATCAGGCAAGGTCACAGCTGAGGGACCATGGGCCAAGGGAGGTTGGCTGGCTGCAGGAGGTTAGCTGTGGGAGCACATTGACCACCAGGGGGCAGTTCCCGCGTTGAGCGTCTTTCCCCTGGTGGTCAGTACACGTCATAGCGACCGGTTGTTCTGCTGTTCTGTTCATTTGCATATTAGCCTTTTATTATATAGGATTATTGTACTATTTTCCATACAAACAACTGTAAACATACTTTTGCCCTACCCTATACAGATATGGACACACACAATACACACACCACACATGTACACACACTAACACACACCACATACATATGCACCACACATTGACACCCTATATATACACACCCTACACATACTAACATAGCATACACACACCACACACTAACACATGTACACATATGGACACATACCACACAATACACACACCACACACACATACCCACAATCAAATCTTATTTTCTGCTAAAGGACAGGCAGGGAGCGGAGCAGCTGGAAGGATTAAGGGATCAGCTGCTAAGAAAGGCTGGCTTCCTGGTAATGCCACCAAGCCTCCGCCAGGGAGAGACACAGCAGGAGAGAAGTGGCAGGGGGCCGGTGGGAGAGCCAGGAATAAGCAGACTTGCAGGCTCCCTCCATGAAACACAAGAAAGGGAGGTGTCAAAGGAGATGCTGCTTCTCGTTGCTGGGGAGGTATAGGGTGTCCCAAAATTCACTCAAGATTTGAATTTTGCGTGAGCATTAACAACAACAAATAAAAGCCTAATTTTACTTGGTTTATTGAATCAGATTCTAATATCTGTTGCCTTTGATTTCAATCCCTTCAATTTGATAAGCATTACCAAGTACCAATTATGGCCCAGGAGCAGGGACAATGAAGACCAATGAAGACCACGGCTTTGCGTATGTACCAGCAAAGCAGTGGAGGCCATTTACCCGATGTGCTATTCCATACATAACCCTATACTGTATACTTTATGAATCAATAAAAAATTTACAATTTTTAATTATAAACCTGTGTTTTCTATCAAAATTACTTCTTGCGTGAATTTTGGGACACCCTATAGGAGTGTCGGTGGGTGTCTTTACTCCTTGCTCCAAAGTGGAGGTTCCTCTTAAAGTTTAGAATACATTTGAAAGAAAAAAAATTAAAATCTCACTACGCCTGAAACACTAGACAACTGATAAAAGCCAAGTGCAAAAGGAAACGTTTCCACCCCCGTTTTAATCGGGGTGTCACAGCTGTGTCAAGAGGCCCCGGGTGCGTGCCTATCAAACCACATGTAGCCTGAGAGCAGCTCCCAGAACTGCCCGCAGAAAACCCAGGAAAACCTTCATGGACCAACAGCTGCATCCGCTTAAAGGGGGTGTTTATTCAAAACACAGATGATCAGAACTAATTTCTAGAGACGGGGCCACTGATCTGCATATTTAACAAGCTCCCCTGGCGAATGATTCTTAAGACATCTCAGGTTTGAAAGCCAGCACTGTTTCTGACAGCTGCCTGGCTCATTCCTGCCTCTGTCCCAAACGCAATCTCAGGACAACAGAAATAAGGCAAAAGCTCCCAACCGCCCGGCCCATAGTGTATGGAACTGACCGGCTGCTGTGTGGGGTGCCTGACTTACTTATCTCTGTGCCCATGCATGGAGTCAGGCACACAGTAGGTGCTCAATAAGGACTGCTGAAATCAAATGGACTCACAACATGATCATTTTACCGATTTTGAAATCATGCCAAGCACTTGCTTATGAGCAGTCCTGTGGCCTCTGGAAGGGAGGCGCTGGGTTGCTTGTGGCTACTTCCTGCAGCACAGGCAGCCACGGTGTCCTCACTGGCGTTACCAATGGGAGAACTGGTCTGCCCTCCTGGGGGCCATATTTCCTGCTGGGATCCTCACCTTTATAGGCTTTGGACACTGCTCTCTGGGGTGCCATCTCCTTGCCTAGGCACTAGGCTGACCAATAAATGGGCTGTAGATTCCTGGTTTTCACTCCAAATGCACTGA